TGACACAATAGGATTGGGAGGAATAAAGGAGGTAAAGTTGATCTGATACTGGTGGGGGGGGGGGGGGTGGGGGAGGTAAAATAGTCAAATTGATTTGATACCGATGGAGCAGGCAGAATAGTCAAGTTGAGCTGACACAGGTGGAAGAGGTGGAATAGTCAAGTTGGGCTGACACAGGTGGAAGAGGTGGGATAGTCAAGTTGAGCTGACACAGGTGGAAGAGGTGGAATAGTCGAGTTGAGCTGACACAGGTGGAAGAGGTGGAATAGTCAAGTTGAGCTGACACAGGTGGAAGAGTCAAGTTGAGCTAACACAGGTGGAAGAGGGGGAATAGTCGAGTTGAGCTGACCAGGTGTAAAAAGTGGAATTTTCTTCTTTTCATTTTATATGCAAGTGGTTTTCAGATAAGAATTTTACAGACCTCAAAGAAAGTTGTCGTGTGACGCATGCGCTCCACTTATCTATAGTGTGACCAATGTGCTCCATTTATCTATAGTGTAACCCATGTACTCCACTGATCTATAGTGTGACCCATGTACTCTACCTGTCTATAGTGTGACCTATGTTCTCCACTTATCTAAAGTGTGATCCACTTATCTATAGTGTGACCCAGGTGCTCCACCTATCTATAGTGTGACCCATGTGCTCCACTGATCTATACTGTGACCTATGTGCTCCGCTGATCTATACTGTGACCTATGTGCTCCACTGATCTATAGTGTGACCCATGTGCACCAGTGATTTATAGTGTGACCCATGTGTTCAACTTATCTTTAGTGTGACCTATTTGCTCCACTGATCTGTACTGTGACCCATGTGCTCCACTGATCTATAGTGTGACCCATGTGCTTCCCTGATCTATACAGTGACCCATGAGCTCCAGTGATCTATAGTGTGACCCATGTGCTCTACTTATCTATAGTGCGACCCATGTGCTCCACTGATCTATAGTATGACCTATGTGCTCCACTGATCAATAGTGTAACCCATGTAATTCACTGATCTGGGTCACACCTGTGCTCCACTGATCTATAGTGTGGCACACGTGCTCCACTGATCTGTAGTGTGACCCATGTGCTCAACTAATCTATAGTGTGATCCTTGTCCTCCACTGATCCATACAGTTTTTTAAAATATATATTAAAATGTCAACCGACCAGGCATGGGATGTCTTTACAGCATGTAGTGCATGGCAACTAGCACACGTTCAATGTTGTGTGGTACATGTCGACATGGCAACTAGCACACGTTTAGTGTTGTGTGGTACATGTCGACATGGCAACTAGCACACGTTCAGTGTTGTGTGGTACATGTCGACATGGCAACTAGCACACGTTCAGTGTTGTGTGGTACATGTCGACATGGCAACTAGCACACGTTCAGTGTTGTGTGGTGCATGTCGACATGGCAACTAGCACACGTTCAGTGTTCTGAGGTGCCTGTCGACATGGCAAAGTTACGATTTCCCAGTTTGGAATGTTTTGTACACATGGCTGCGGGGATGTTGTGTCCAGTTTGGAATGTTTTGTACACAAGGCTGCGGGGATGTTGTGTCCAGTCTGGAATGTCTTGTACACATGGCTGCGGGGATGTTGTGTTCAGTCTGGAATGTCTTGTACACATGGCTGCGGGGATGTTGTGTTCAGTCTGGAATGTCTTGTACACATGGCTGCGGGGATGTTGTGTCCAGTCTGGAATGTCTTGTACACAAGGCTGCGGGGATGTTGTGTCCAGTCTGGAATGTCTTGTACACATGGCTGCGGGGATGTTGTGTTCAGTCTGGAATGTCTTGTACACATGGCTGCCGAGATGTTGTGTCCAGTCCGGAATGTCTTGTATACAAGGCTGCGGGGATGTTGTGTTAAGTCTGGAATGTCTTGTACACATGGCTGCGGGGAAGTTGTGTCCAGTCTGGAATGTCTTGTACACAAGGCGCGGGGATGTTGTGTAGAGTCTGGAATGTCTTGTACACATGGCTGCGGGGATGTTGTGTCCAGTTCGCAGTCTTGAAAAAGAATGGCCTGTTCCTTTTATGGCAGGTGGCTGATGGTGGGTCTTCAAGTTTGGGTTCTGGAAGGGAAGAGTTCCACTGGGTGGGTTCTAAGTGTGTCTTCAATATTTGGTTATGGAAGGGTAGAGTTCTACTGGGTGGGTTCTGGCTGGGTCTTCAAGATTTGGTTATCTGTGTTCTCTGTGGGAGCTGGTCTACTGGGTTCTAATGGCTGCCCTGATCTGTTTTATTTTCCTCGCAAGTGGATCCACGAACGAGAAAAGGGTAGAGTGTTGCAAATATGCATCTCACATGGGAAAATGAGGAAAACTGCATTGTGAATGTGGGTAGCAGATAAAGAATCGCATTAGCATTTCATACAAGAGATAGAGAAATGGTAAAACGAATATCATCCATGGAAGTAAGAAAAAGAATAAGCATGAGTTAGGAACACGATGATGTTGATGATGACAAGGAGGGATACCCAAAACGCGATGAGAAATCTGAAGACTACGATTAGGAAAAACGAAAAAGAGATTGCATCCAAAATGTTTTCATACTCACACATCAATGAGTGAGAATAAGGAATATGTCATGGCAAAAAATGCGACTGTATAAAATAAAAATGAAATTGTATGTTTCTTTTAATACATACACATAGACTCTCTACGTCTCTCTCTCTCTCTCTCTCTCTCTCTCTCTCTCTCTCTCTCTCTCTTGCTCTTTCTCTTTCACACCCGATCACTAACCCACACACCCACTAAGCAATCACTCACTCTCACTCATTCACACACTCAGTCACGTACTTACTTGCCCAACTACACACGCACAAATGGAAATATAATCCAAATAAACATGTACAATCTGATGATGAAAGATACAATTTTAATGACGACACCTGAAACGTTCTATTATCACTGGCCCTCATACTGGTCCAAGATGACCTCTTTAGCATATGCCGCACATCACAAGTCCTACACGTCACACGTCTAAACGTTATTCATAAGCTGCGCTCGGAACCAACAGAAAACTGATGACCCTGGCTCGCCGTCATATCCCTCGACGCACCACACTCTTGTCCTCTCTGTATCTAAAATAATATGCAAGATTTTTCATCTTCTCCTTTAAAGATGTGGGATATGTTATGTTATCACAGCTGACGTCACTGACATTGAGTATTCTCATAAGTGCTTATTCCTTCAAACAGAAGCCACTGCAAAATGCCTCTACTGATTCTGCTCATGATACGTTGCTTACAATGTCTCCTAACTTGACTCCGAAGACGGAACCGATGTGCTTCACCGGTTTCACTCGGACATTTAGGATGTATAAGGCTGCAATGTTTTCATTCCATCAGATGATTTGACAATTAAAGCCCGCAATACCTGAAGCCATTCCCGGGACTCGAACTCTCTCAAAACATTGACACAGCCACGCTTCTCTAGCTGGCACACACACACACACACAAATGGAACTCAGAAAGTGGTTGAGAAATTCTAACTCTGGTAGTTTCCTTTGTCAAGGAACTAACACAGTTTGGGCTCAGAGGGGAGATTTGCAAGAAGAGACAGACGGGAAGAAACTTGTATGAATGCATCATGATCATGCAATATCCAACGTGTTGGGTGTTGGGTAATGTTAAACCTGATCTTCAATGTGAAGATGGCACGTAATTTATATGTGTGTGAGTGTGTGTATATATATATATATATATATATATATATATATATATATATATATATATATATATATATATATATATATATATATATACATACACACACACACACACTGGAAATATCGTTACGACTGGAAAGATCACTGGTAGGAGAGACAGAGGCAGACCAAGAGAACTGATGGTGGGTAGCATAAAACAGTGGTATGTACAAGTATCATCAGTGGAATTGATTCAGAACACCAAGGACCGAGATCTGTGGAGATGCATGATCGCCTACGCCAGCTGCAAAGGCACTTGATGATGGCGATGTGCGGTATACAAGTAGATTTCTATGTTTCCGCTGCAGAAGGTGCAGTTTTGCTCACATCTGAAGCATAATTTACACAGCCACTCTAGTGCCATCAACACATACATTCAACGTGGTTTCCACCGAAGTCTAACTTCTATGAATCTACATCACATATCATTGAAACCTCTTCACATATCTTTGAGTTCAACTCACGCATCACTGAAACCACCTCACACATCACTGAAACTACCTCACACATCACTAAAACCACCTTACGCATCACTGAAACCAGCTTACATATCAGTGAATCTTCTTCAGTTATCACTTAGAACACAATCATTCATATTACAAATCCATCAAACATAAATTAAACCACCTCACATATAACTGATATCTCACTTAGCCCACCTCACATATAACTAAAGCCAACTCACGTATCACCGAAACCACCTTACACTTCACTGAAACTACCTCAAATATCATTGAAACCACCTCACTTTTCACTGAAACTGCCCGGCTCTCTAGCGTAGTTGGCTAAACCGGATTGCGCGGAGACCGGGTGACGAACTCTTTGTGGTCCGGGTTCACTCCCGGGGGTAGGCAGAAAAGCCACATTTCTCCCAGATTTACGGTATTTACCATGGAATCAAGGCCGAAGGTTGCGATATCCATAAAACCCCGCCTAAGGGTTAACAACTCATGGCTTCTGGATACTAAAACAAACAAACACATATCACTGAAACCACCTCACATATCATTGAAACCACCTTACTTATCATTGAAACCACCTCACTTATAATTAAAACCACCCCACACACCACTGAAACCACCTCACATATCATTGAAACAAACAAACACATATCACTGAAACCACCTCACATATCATTGAAACCACCTTACTTATCACTAAAACCACCTCACATATCATTGAAACCACCTCACTTATCACTGAAACCACCTCACTTATCATTGAAACCACCTCACTTATGATTGAAACCACCTCACATATCATTAAAACCACCCCACACACCACTGAAACCACCTCACATATCATTGAAACCTTTGACAATGATCTCGTCTCGGAAAATCTGCCAGATGAAGATAATGAGAAGTCCCATCAGATTTATAATAAGATAGACAATAAATATGATTCTGTCCGTGACTATAGCAACGACCCTCCACTCGCGAGCCATTTTCTCTCTCTCCTCTGTCTTTGCTTTCTTGTCTCTCACCTTCTCTAACAAATGCCGAATGGACCTCAGTTCTTCTGTTATCTGTAATTGAGGATATCTTTTGTTAGTTATCATCGTCTTTTACGGTAGTCGTCATTGGTATGTGAACTATCACAGTCTCTGTCAATCAATCATTCTTACTCACTTCATCTAACACTTTGACACTGTCCCAATTTATTCTTCTCTCATTCCTTTCCTTGGTTAATCTCTCCCTCGTTTCTCTCTCTCTCTCTCTCTCTCTCTCTCTCTCTCTCTCTCTCTCTCTCTCTCTCTCTCTCTCCCTCTCTCGTGTTACAAAATCTCACATACATTCACATATGGCTCTCGTCCTTTCACAAAATCTTTCATTCTGATATACACGTATGTTTTTTCATTATCTCTTCTTCGCCATCTCCCTCTCTGACCTTCGCTCTCCCTCAGTCTCTTCCTCACAATTTTGCTTTACGCACTCTCGCCCACCGCCTCCCCTCCCCCCTCTCTCTCTCTCTCTCTCTCTCTCTCTCTCTCTCTCTCTCTCTCTCTCTCTCTCTCATAAATCTATCCTTCTTACACCCACAAACTTGTTCCTGTGTTATCTCTGCGCCCGCACGCGCGCGCTCTCTCTATCTCCCTCATATGATATGTAAAGACACAGACTATGTACTCTTGTTGTTGTTGGTATTATTATTATTATTATTATTATTATTATTACTATTATTAATATACTAAATGACAAATATCGAAAACATCAGTCCTTGCCAAGCAGCAAACATTATGGAGATCCAAAAACATTTCATGCAAAACTAAGATTCGATTGCTCAGAGCACTAGCTATTAGAGGTTCCGGTTAAAATGGACGCTAGACAGCGGCGCTGTGTCGTAGCGGAGGCAAATTTTTTGCTTCTGCCGGACGGTGGCCGAAGTATTTTTGCTCCATTTGTAGACTGGATATAGTTTCGTCGCCCAGCTTCTGAGTTGAATGCATGGCGTGACCCTGTGAGCTGCGGATTGCATTTGGAATGTTTTTTCGACTGTGACCAACGTGGTGTGAATTGTAGATTCAGAAAATGGCGCGATGCCGGTCGTCAATGTTGGCGGTGCCCGTGTGTGATTACAATTGATCGCGTGGGAAACTGCTGATCTGTTGGCGACAAGTTCTGCTATCATCAATGATGAACTGCATTTCTAATGTTGGACTGTTTGTGTTAGCACTTCGGATGGCTACCATATGCTTTAATGCGAGTGTATGCTAGATATGCTGAGACAGCAGTCTGTCAATCTTTCCACAAGGGACTGTGATAAACATTCTGGGTGTTTTTCGCTGGCACAGGAGCAGAGCAAAGATGGGGCGACCCGTTTGCTATGAAGCTGAAACTAAGACTATCAGACTATCAGACTATCAGACTAGCTATTAGAACATTTACATATGGTTGTGAAACGTGGACCTTAACAGTTAAATTCGAAAGGATGATACAAGCATTGGAAATGCGATGGTTTAGAACAAATTCTTGGCATATCACACAGAGACCACATTACAAACGAAGAGATTCGCCATAAAATTATACAGCACATTGGCAACTTTGAACCTCTTTTAACTACAGTGAAGAGACACACACCAAAAAAAAAAAAAAAATGCAATGATATGGACATGTGGCAAGGTCTAACAGTCTCTCAAAAACAATACTGCCTGTCTCAGAGAGGGAAAGAGAAGAATAGGCAGACCAAGAAAGACCTGGTTACAAAACCTGACTGACTGGACAGGCCTCAGGTATCAGCAGATCTAAGCACCTCACTTTCCGGCGAACATGATAGAGTTGTTGGTTTTGTTCGCAACATTTTTCTTACGTCTGTCATAATTATCATATCACTGGTAGACCGATCCCCACGCCAGCCACACTCTGACTCCAAGTAACCTTGGGCTTTTAGGATCTGGAGTCTTCGCCGAACCATTCTGGCAAGAACTTTCCCTGCTGGTGCTGCTGCTGTTGTTGGTACCTTTGCATGTGCACAGACGATAGTGTTATATTGTTCTTTGAGGAGGTATGGGACTCACAGCCCATGGCGAATTGAGGACAGGGATGTAGTTTCTCCTCTCCACAGCACAAAGCACAAAGCTTGGCCTGTATTGTAGAGACAATATGTTGCCCATGCCTCAGGAGCACTCATTCTGGCTGCCTCGTTTACTCCAAAGGAAAGGTGACTTCACTAAGTTTGGAACAATCCAAGCTGCAGAAGCTTCCCGGTCAGAGGAGCTACCCTCCTAGACCAGATGCCAGCCAAATCTAAGGGCCTGGTCTACCCTGTCATAACATAAAGTTTTCAGGCTGCATGTCCTCTTTCTAAGATAAGGCTAGTATTCTCTCAAATGTATTCCTCCGCCCGATACCATTGGCACAATATGGGATGTTATGTTTGGTATACGCCCCCCAACACTGGGCGTTAACAGAAGAGAGGTGGTACCGGCTACTGTTATAATGAAGGTCAGTCATACCAGACCAAGACCTGACAGAAGACAGGTTGTAGTGGCTACTGGTTTATGGTAGCTCAGTCATATTAAACCAAGACCTGACAGAAGACAGGTGGTTCCGGCTATTGTTATACGGTAGCTTAGTCATATTAGACCAAGACCTGACAGAAGACAGGTTGTAGTGGCTACTGGTATACGGTAGCTCAGTCATATCAGACAAAGACCTGACAGAAGACAGGTGGTACCGGCTATTGTTATACGGTGGCTCAGTCATATCCGACCAAGACCTGACAGAAGACAGGTGGTACCGGCTACTGGTATACGGTAGCTCAGACATATCTGACTAAGACCTGACAGAAGACAGGTGGTACCGGCTATTGTTATACGGTAGTTAAGTCATATCAGACCTAGACTGAACTGAACACAACAGTGATATTCTAAACAGCATGCACAATGGGAGTCAGGCAGGTGTAAATACGTCGCTCTCTCCTCGGACTGTGCCGAAATACTATCTCCGTGGGAAGCTTATTGCAGTGTTCTACTTCGCTTCTCCAAACCCTGCAATTATCAGAGTATGCAAGACATGTACTGGAAGACTTAAGAAACAGCCAGGCAAGTTGCTTTTAACAGATCATGGTTTAGACATGTTAAAGGCGTGAGACTTGACTTCACTGCGCCGAGTCTTATCTCACTTGACTCGGTCTCTCCCTAGGATGGCTGGCATGGCACAAGGCGTGAACTCCGCAGCTCCACGACAATGCCCCAGCGATCAGCGTAAAAATTTCGCTCGTAAACCGAATGCAGTCCCGTGTAGCATAGACCAAAGTGAAGACAGACGTAACATGGACATGCTGGGTGAAGATAAGCATGACATGGACATACTGGGTGAAGATAAGCATGACATGGACATGCTGGGTGAAGATAAGCATGACATGGACATACTGGGTGAAGATAAGCATGACATGGACATACTGGGTGAAGATAAGCATGACATGGACATACTGGGTGAAGATAAGCATGACATGGACATACTGGGTGAAGACAAATATGACATGGACATACTGGGTGAAGACAAATATGACATGGACATACTGGGTGAAGACAAATATGACATGGACATACTGGGTGAAGACAAATATGACATGGACATACAGGGTGAAGACAAATATGACATGAACATACTGGGTGAAGACAAATATGACATGAACATACTGGGTGAAGACAAATATGACATGAACATACTGGGTGAAGACAAATATGACATTGACATACAGGGTGAAGACAAATATGTCATGAACATACTGGGTGAAGACAAATATGACATGGACATACTGGGTGAAGACAAATATAACATGGACATACTGGGTAAAGACAAGCATAACATGGACATACAGGGTGAAGACAAATATGACATGGACATACTGGGTGAAGATAAGCATAACATGGACATACTGGGTGAAGATAAGCATAACATGGACATACTGGGTGAAGATAAGCATAACATGGACATACTGGGTGAAGATAAGCATAACATGGACATACTGGGTGAAGATAAGCATAACATGGACATACTGGGTGAAGATAAGCATAACATGGACATACTGGGTGAAGATAAGCATGACATGGACATACTGGGTGAAGATAAGCATGGCATGGACATACTGGGTGAAGATAAGCATAACATGGACATACTGGGTGAAGATAAGCATGACATGGACATACTGGGTGAAGATAAGCATGACATAGACATACTGGGTTAAGATAAGCATGACATGGACATACAGGGTGAAGACAAATATGACATGGACATACTGGGTGAAGATAAGCATAACATGGACATACTGGGTGAAGATAAGCATGACATGGACATACTGGGTGAAGATAAGCATGACATGGACATACTGGGTGAAGATAAGCATGACATGGACATACTGGGTGAAGATAAGCATGACATGGACATACTGGGTGAAGATAAGCATGACATGGACATACTGGGTGAAGATAAGCATGACATGGACATACTGGGTGAAGATAAGCATAACATGGACATACTGGGTGAAGACAAATATGACATGGACATACTGGGTGAAGACAAATATGACATGGACATACTGGGTGAAGATAAGCATGACATGGACATACTGGGTGAAGATAAGCATGACATGGACATACTGGGTGAAGACAAATATGACATGGACATACTGGGTGAAGACAAATATGACATGGACATACTGGGTGAAGATAAGCATGACATGGACATACTGGGTGAAGACAAATATGACATGGACATACTGGGTGAAGACCAAACGGACTGCTCGGGACAAGGCACCGACACAATGAGATCAAAGAAAGGACTCAGTCCCCTTATAATATATTAGGGAAGACGAGGCTCAAGAGGCTTAAGCCTTGTTTAAATTCACACTAATAACAATGTTGTGAGTTGCAAATAAATATTCTAATATATTTCTTTTAAATACGCAAACAAACATTTGAACAAGAATCGCTAGGCACAGTTAGGCGCACAATTGTGTTCTCTTGGACATTTTTGTCGAGGAGGGGTGGGTTCAGGAGGGACGGGGTGGATAGGGGAAGAAAAAGATCTCAACTCCCTCATCCCAAATATGTATACTAAAATCAATAGGTTAAATAAGTCATAACATGACATTTAGGGGAAATTCTTTGACTTAGAAAGCCACGGACATCCATACCTGCAAGTTGGCCTGGCTGTGCGCTAAAAACTCGTCTCCTATCGGAGGAAACTGGAACGCCTGGGTATACCGTCCACCTCTGGTGTCTCCACAACTCCGACATTCACTGTCCAGGCAGTCTCGCTTGTCCACTCCGTTGTCCAGCAGCCGAACCTGATGGACAGAGGAAAGGGGAAGAGAAAATCTGCTATTTAAATATTAAACATACTCAGGAGGAGATCGGAGCACCTATATTTATGTCCGATGTTCGATGAAGATGGCCTTTAAATCAACAGTGAACTATATATATCTATATAAAGTGCCATCTTCGCATGCAAGATCAGGTTAACGAATATCCAACACGCCGGATATTTCAACTTCATAATGCATTCATACAAGTGTTTTTTTGTGTCTGTCTGTCTGTCTGTCTGTCTGTCTGTCTGTCTGTCTGTCTGTCTGTCTGTCTGTCTGTCTGTCTGTCTGTCTGTCTGTCTGTCTGTCTGTCTTTCTGTCTTTCTGTCTGTCTGTCTCCCTTTCTGTGTGTACAGTGCTACTTCTTTGTTTGATGTCTTATCCAGTTGCGATATTTATACACACACACATACACACAGAGTTAGAAAGAGAGAGAGAGAGTGAGAAAGAGAGAGAAAAAAAGAAAGAGAGAGAGAGAGAGAGAGAGAGAGAGAGAGAGAGAGAGAGAGAGAGAGAGAAAGTTATGATGTAATCATTACGCAGGCCAGATTTCTGAAACATCTACAACACGCGGTACACCCGATAAAAACACGACTCGGAGACTAACGATGTTTTTTCAAAGTTTATTACAAGAAAGAATTGCGTTAGAAACGACAAATAGTAAAACAAGTATATTGGACAGCTATCAGTCAAATAATAGGGACATGAAAGGATGGGAGGCAGCAGATTTGACTTTCCGAGAGGAAAGCGAATGTCTCATGGGCAGACATAACAACTGCAGGCACCCTTATATCAAGGCTTCAGATTCGTAATAGTAAGACGCGTGAAACAGACAGACAGACAGACAGACAGACAAAGATTTAAAGAGACAAAGAGACAGACAGACCGACCGCCGACCAACCGGCCGACTGTCCGAACACCGACCGACCGACCGAC